AAAAATTTCTTACCTACCAATTAAATAATTCTCTCGCATTATTTTTTTTCCTTCTTCCTTTTCTTTTTTCTTTATAACAAATAATGAAAAAAAAAAAAAAATAAAAAAAAAATAAAAAAAAAAAAAAAACGTAGAAGAACAAGAAACTTCGCAAAGCATGACTTAATTAATACCAAGTTAATTAATTTTTCGTGATATTTAATAAAATTCGCCAAAGCGAAAAAAAAATGAAGGAGATACATTTACTCACATACTCGCTTCACTTCGCTTACTTACTCACTTACTTACTTACTTACTTACTTACTTACTTACTTACTTACTTATTTACTTGACGATGTTAGAAAGGGGAAAATTAGAAGCGCAGGTCGTATTCGTGCAGGAATAGTTCCAATGATCGGCTCACCGATGCCAGTCCGTAGTCGATCATTACTCGCCGTTTCATTAGAATATCGACGATAAAATGGCTTTAATTACAAAGGTACCGCGTTGCTTCCTGTCGACGGACACGCATACAAGTAGATTTAAGCGTGCGTGCTGCACGCATCGACGTTAGTTCCTTCTACTACCCTAACGCCTTATTTTACATGTATTTCTACACATCTACGGTGATTAGTAAGGTCGTTTACTTAATAACGAGCCATTGTAATAAGAATCTAAGATTGTGCCTTACCTTACGAGAATACCACGTGGTCTTTCTAGAGCATATATAACAAGAATTCCTTTCTCTTTCTCTTTCTCTCTTTGTCTCTCTTTCTCACTCTCTCTATCTCTCTCTCTCTCTCTCTCTCTCTCTCTCTCTCTCTCTCTCTCTCTCTCTCTCTCTGTGGTTTTCTGTCTCTGTCTATCTGTCTGTCTGTCTGTCTGTATGCCTTTCTTATTTTTTTTTCTTTTTTCCGAAGGAAAAATTTTATATTAATATTTATGAAAGAACGATATTAACGATAATTTATTTTCTTATATATATAGATATTTTTTATATACGTGTGCGAGATTAGAAATTACGTGTGTTATAAGATTATATGTGTAATAAGAATTGTTTTCTTTTTTTTCTTTTTTCCTTTTTCCTTTCCTTGCTCTTAATTTCTTTTCTTCCTTTCTTTTCTTTTTTTCCCTCTTTCGTCTCCTTTTCTTCTTTTTTTTTTTTCTTCTTTTTTAATTTCCAATTGTAAATTCTGTTAACTCTAGCGAATATAAAATAATGCATTTTGTGTACATTAGAAAAATAATGTTTAAATAATGAAATGTATTTAAGATCATTCGCGATTGGTTAGTGATCATGTGATTAGGGATCACGTTGTGCGATCAGGATCGTGTTTTGAAGCGATTAGAAAATTTTTTTTTTATGGGAAAAAGTACGAACGACTTGAAGAAATTTTTTAAGAAAATTTCTTCTTCTTTTACTTTTTCTTTTTTTTTTCCTCTCTCTCTTTCTTTCTCTCTCTCTCTCTCTCTCTCTCTCTCTCTCTATCTATCTATCTATCTATCTATCTGTCTATCTATCTCTCTCTTTTTGTGTTTTTGAATGGATCGTGTGAACAAAATTACATGTCATTTGTCATAGAGAAAAATTATGACAAATTGTGAACTACGTGATGTATTTTTATTGATAATAAAATTTTCTTCGTATTTCAGAGAACGTAATGTAGAAGAATAATTTTTGTTTGTTAGGGAAAAAAATATACAATAAATTGCGATAGATCATGTTAAATCATTGGTGTAACGAGAATTTCCATTTTCTTATACGAGAAATTTTGATTGATAATAATTTTCAATGAATAATATATATATATATATAAAGTAATTTTCTTTTTATATAGAAAAATATGGATAAATTGTGAACCGTTAATCATTTCACGAGAATCCTTATTTTGTGAAATAAAATTTTCTATACGTGTTATGGCGAAGAAATAATCTTAATAAAAAAAAAAAAAAAAAAAAAAAAAAGGAAAAAAAACAGGAAAAAATAGAAAAATTCCCGTTACATGATAAAAAAAAAAAAAAAGAAAAAAAAATACGAAAAATCGTAGAACCTAGTTCGTGTAGCAAAGAGAGAATTTTTATCTCGTTATACGAGAAATTCGATTGTTAATTCACGACAAAAAAAAAAAAGAAAAAATAAAAAACAATGAAAAAACAATATAAAAATTATTGTCACTCTAATATAGAAAATCTATGAGGTAATGTCTAATTATTTGTTTGACAAAAATTTCCCTTTTGCGATATATATACATATATATGAAATTTGTTTATTTTATATTAAAAATAGTATTTAAAGATAGGTTTCGTTTTTCATTCGTTCGTTCTCAAAAGATTTCTATGCCTCGTGTGTTTTGATTCTCGATCGTAAAGTCGTCGTGAAAAGTGAACGTTAAATGAATTTGGGAACGTCGTGTTTTCGAGGCTAGCTTTTAATGCGCGTCGCATCGTATAAAATGTCGCATTTAATCCTTTATACCGACGAGACGCGGTTATTCGCATTAACGCCAACGGCGAATACGTT